AATAGTTATTTCCATACTATCAGATATGCATGCTTGGTGTACGGGTAAATAACTCTAATTACCAAACCACTGTTACATTAGGTTGATGTTCCTTTAGACGTTAGACAAAAATGGATTAAACCTTGCTGCCTACTCAGAGATTTGGTCTGAGTGGAAACAGGCTTTTGTGGAGCTACAGAATTTCTACTTCGTCTGCTCAGCCAATAATTGATCAGAGCATGAGCCTGGTTACAAATAAGCAACAAGCTTCCTGTATCCATGAACAGAAAACAAGGTAGTGCACTTAGCCTCCGAGAACACGCGTTTACTTTTGAAGAAAAGAAGCACCGGGCAACCAGTGAGCAGCATAAGTCGGAAATTCATTATCTGACATGTTCTTTCCAGTCTTCCCAGGAATGCTGGTCTGACTACTCAGATTTGCTTTTACTACTTGCCTTTTGGATATAATGAGTTTGCCAAGCAGCTGTGAGTACCTAACTCTGGGGAAGGTGGCTAGATTCCGAAGCGGTTATGTTCATGGATCACCTTATGCAATCAACATGCCAATTGATATTAAGCCACAGAGGAGACGGTAACTGCTTTCCTTTCCTCTAGTTGTTTGTCAGTGAAAGTGTGTTTTGCTGCCCTTTAGTAACTGCTTTGGACGTCTGCTGAGCTGGGAGGGTCAGGGTGAGAGGTTAGGTTTTAAATCAACACACCTGTAGTTTGAAAAAAAATTAACTAGGGAGGAAGGCTGGAAATATTCTTAGTTTAGCTATTTAGCAAAGGCTGATCTTGTTTCAAGGTCTGTAGATTTTAAGAATTTGAGAGATTGTCAGTGTTTGCATTGCTGTCACAATCACCCATGATGAGAATTTGAAAGAGTATTTAGCCAAATAATGGACATATTTATTGATTGCTATATGGCTATTTATACCAGATGCCTAGTAACTCATAATCTATATGTGACATTTTTTAATGCATTATAACACATTAATGCAATAAATATGTTATGTTATGATTCAACAAAAACATATGTTTTCTTGTAGTCACTAGGGAGGGCAGAACAGTGTTATATATTTTCCCTGTAAAGTCGTTGTCGTTTTAGATCTGTGTTGTACCCCCACCCCACCCTTTTTATGTAGTGTCAGAATAGCGATGATATAGTTGACTAATATGTCAAAAGTCACCACTCAATTTTGGTTTTATACAGTCATTTAATTCAGCAATTAACAATGAACTTCATAAAGATGTTCCATTCTCTCTGAAAATTCCATTTCTCTCTAATTTTATGAATCCTCATAATGAAAATCCAAAATTCTAAAAGCAATGTATTTTGCTTGGAAACTGTCATTACCATCTTACACTTCTATTTTTCTTTTTCTAATTATACAAACTCACATACAAAGCATGCATTTTGCCAGATTTCACCTTATTATAAACATGAAAGGATATTTAAATGATTAAAAAGTTTTTAAACCTTCAGAAAGCTTTCTGATTTTTGTGAGGGACAATATTTTATTCTTTTCTCCAGAGTATTAAGGCTTTTCTGTCCAGCTCTGTCACTATTTGACTTTATGGCAGGCTAGCAGCACCAAGCAAGTATTTTAAAATACATTGAGAAAAACGTGTCCTAAGACACCGAGCATTGCTCAGTGGCTGTCGGTTACCTCGTTCCCTTCTTTAGTTGGTGGAATGATACTACAAACCCATACAAGTTGCAAAATCCGTGTGCATATCTGATATCCCTGTTGGTATTACCTTAATTTTTCTGCTTAAATGTAATCAACTTTTTGTACAAGTCAGTCAGATTATATTTTTATATGTGTTGTGTATATGCATAGATCCAGGAAATTTCAGACATATTCCTAATTAGGTTTAAAATTGGATATTACAGTATATTTTACAAGCACATGTATAAAATTTGGCATTACAGTATATTTTACAAGCAAATGTATTTGAAAGACATTTTACAATAACTAGTATTTAATTGCATAGATCTTGGGATTTGTAAAAATACCAGATCCAACTTTTCTTTCAGTAGAATACATTGCTTATCCATAGCTAGTAAATCAATTAAATAAGTTTTATGTAAAAAGTTGACTTAAATCATTACATCTGGAACTTTTATTCTACAAAAGGATAAATATGACAATAAACATGTAATGAAAATAATAGTTAGAGGGGTTGGATGAATGAATGGAAGAACATCCAAATCTTAGGGAATGTCTTTTTATTCTGTTACTCATTGTTTTAAGTTGTGACTTTTAAAACCTCAACTTCTTTTGAATCTGTTGAGAAAACGATACACTTGGAATGATGGGTTATAATCCTAGATTCACTAAAATCTACCTAAAATTTAAATGGTTCTGTTTTCAGAATGCTTGCTGGGACTAAGATTTATCTAAAGTAGCATGTTTATGTTTATTTTCATATCATCTCAGTTGTGGGTTTTGGCAGAAAGAAAATTGTTTTCTAATTACTAAAAAAAAATCTAAGGAAGGAAGGATGGAGGGGAGGGAGAGAAAGACCTCTAAAGAAGAGGAGCTATGAGTTGCTATTTCAGCCTACCCAAAGAAGCAGAGATTGCGGTGGCAAAAAGAAATTTGGCTTTTCACTGAAATCCATAGGGAAAATGAAGTAGGAATTCAAATGCATAAATGCAAAATATAGCTCAATTTAAAGCTAAGTATATCCTTATAATATAATGACTTATTGAAAGAACAGCATTTTTTTCTTGGAACACAGGGAAATTATTTGCACATTGAAAATCAGCTACATTAGACACATGACCACATGGTCATTTAATCGGTCTCAATTTTTATTTCAAGAGCAGCAATGAACACATTAAGAAAGCAGTTAATACTACTAAATCTTAAGTAAGCTTAATGTTAATGACAACCCTACCATCTATGATTATAATTACGTTCTATATTTGCGATTTAAAATTTTTTTCCTTTTAATTTTTGGTAGCCTCCATAAATTCTGCTGTTCAAATTTTCTCTTGTAAGAAATTTAATTTCCTTTCAATTTTATGAAGGCTTTATGTCTCAATTTTAATGTAGTGATTTCTTCTCTTTATTTTTTGAGACACGGTCTCTCTCTGTTGCACAGACTGGAGTGCAGTAGCAATCATAGATCAGGGCAACCTAGAACTCCTGGGCTCAGGTGGTCTACTTCAGCTTACCAAGTATTTGGGACTACAGGCACAGGTCACTGTGCCAGGCTAATTTTTTTTTTTTTTTTTTTTTTTTTTTTTGTAGAGAAGAGGTCTTGCTATGTTGCCCAGGCCCTTCTCAAACACTTGACCTCAAATGACTCTCCTGCCTTGGCATCCCAAAGTGCTGGTATTATAGGCACAAGCCATCATGCCTGGCCCTTCATATAGAGATTTAAAAATCCAATTTAAAAATCTGATTTAATCTGGCTCTTCTAATCCATCCTTACCCAATGGGCTGTAAAGTTTTTGAGTGTGTGGATCACGTCTTGGTTGTTATTACTTCCCCAGTGTCCAGCATAGAGCCCAGCACAGGTTAAATAATAAATATTTGTTTAATAAATAAATTATTAGAAAATACATATTACATATTTTGGCATAGGCGTGTGTGTCGGTATGTGTGTATCATATATATATATATACACACACACAACTATTTTATACACACACACACACACACACACACACACCTAGTGTGTGTGTATGTGTGTTTATAAAATCTCTTCCCTGTATGCCACAGTATGGAGTCTTTGGCAAGACTTTTGCTTCTGTTATTCTTTTAGATCAATTAAATCCCCCTTCCTTGTTTCCCTATAGAAACTGCATGTAGCACTGACTTTAGATTACTGGCTTAAGTGATTGAGGGTCTTGCATTTTGGTATTACCACGTCAGCAAAAGAGAACCTGAAATTCACTTCTATATTCATAAGAGTATATATGTGTATATATGTAGTATGTGTGTGGTGTGTATGTGTGTGTGTGTGTGTGTGTGTGTGTGTGACTTCAAGTTGTAGAAAGGAGGAGAAAAAGTCACTGTGGGAAGTGGCAGAGGGGAATTTCCTAAAGGGAAACAATGTTGCAACTGTAAGAAAATATAAGAAATTTGATAGAAGCACAAAATTTCATAAAATCAGTTATAAAAACTGACATGCAAGCCCCATTTCTGTTTGTTTTGCTATAAAGGAAAAGTCACAACTTTTTTTATTGAAATGGAAAACAAAAACTAGTAGCAGTGAATGTGGTGAGACAGTAGCCACTGGCACCTCAATGCAATGGAAAGCAACTGCTGGGTTGAGCACTACTTTTTACCGTCAGGTGTAGAGCTGCACCTCCCCAGCCACCTTTTTCCCTGCATTTTGGTGGCTTGACACCACTACCTGGGGGCTGGTGAGGGTCCTTCCCCTGCTTCCTGCTCTGTGCTCTCTCGCTGGTGATGCTGCTGTTCTGGTATACTCTCTGGCCGCTGTTTTCTTTTCTTTTCTTTTTTCTTTTACTTTAGGTGTATACCATATCCAGCATTTCTCCCCATGTTATCCTTCCCCACCCCCCACTGTCCCTCCCCTACCTCCCCCAACTGCCCCCAGTGTGTGATGTTCCCCTCCCTGAGTCCACGTGTTCTCATTGTTCAATACCCACCTATGAGTGAGAACATGTGGTGTTTGGTTTTCTGTTCTTGCGTCAGTTTGCTTAGAATGATGGCTTCCAGATTCATTTAAGTCCCTACAAAGGACATGAACTCATCTTTTTTTATGGCTGCATAGTATTCCATGGTGTATATGTACCATGTTTTCTTTGTCCAGTCTATCATGGATGGGCATTTGGGTTGGTTTATGGCCTCCGTTTTTTTAAATCATTTGGTAGGGTGTTCTCCCTATTATCCCTGGGATCAGAAAAAAGCAGGGTACAAAGATGCAGAAGATAGGAAGGAATACAATGAGTGTGAGTGAAGGTAAACCAGCCTGCTCCATCCTTATGGAATGATCACAAGGTCATGCCCTTAGATTTATGACTAGTCATCAACCTATTAATTTATTCAAATTGTGTATTAATTTGTTAGGACTGTCATAAGAAAATACTACAGATTTGGTGGTTTAAACAACAGAAATTTGTTTTCTCAGATTTGGTGCCTTAAACAACAGAAATTTATTTTCTCACAATTCCAAAGGCTGTGAAATCCAGGGTCAAGGTGTCAACAGGTCTGGCTTCTCCCTAGGACTCTGGTTGGCTTGCAGATGGCCACCTTCTCACTGTGTTATCACTTGGCCTTTTCTCTGTGCATAGACATCCCTGGATTTCTTTGTGTGTCCAAATTTCCTGTTTTTATAAGGACATCAGTCAGATTGGATTAAGGCCCATGCTTAAGGTTTATTTAAATTTAATCTCCTCTTTAGAGGTCCTATATCCAAATATAGTCTCATTCTAAGAAACTGATGTTTAAAGCTTCAGCATACAAACTTTGGGGGAGACACAATTAAGCCCATAACAAGTCGTGCTCATGGAATGATTTGTTAGTGATGACTGTGGAGAGAGATAGTAATTGGACTGTGAATCCTGAATAATTAGTGGCTTCATGTTCATAAAAGTGGACTCAATAATGGGCGTGAACCTGCACGAGGGAGGCATTGCAGAGATGAATGTCTCATTTTCTCTACCAAAGAAAAACAAGTACACATTGCAAACAATAAATCTTTATCAAATTCAACCACTTTATTTTGAACTCAATAATCTTTCAAACAAGCCTAGACCAACGTTTGCTTTATTATAGCTTTTTTCAAGAGGAGTGGAAGTATTAAATTTATTATTAAGGTACTGAGTGATTCTCAATTCTACCCTCCACCTCCCATGCAGGAAACATTTGGCAATGTCTAGGGACACTTTTTATCGTAATGAGTGGGAAGTAGCTGATGGTGTCAAGTAGGTAAAGAATAAGGACGTTAAATCTCCTTTAATAGACAGCCTCTCACAACAAAGAATTATGTGCCCCAAGATGTCAGTAGGGCTAAGGTGGAGGAAACGTTATGTAAATAAATTAGGGAGGACTTTGGAGCTTTTTGAAGACATTAATTTATATCTAGATAATTGATATTTTTTTAGGTGTTCATGAGAATACTTTCTCTTATCTTTTTTGTGGTAACCACAAGATAATGCTTTCTTGCCTGGTTAAAAATGGACAACTGCCCCCTTCCACGAACACTCCCTTCATGGAAGCCTGTCTTCCCCTCCTAAACTCCATCTCTCTCTATTCCCTTCCACTCAGTGTGGAAGCTGCTTTCCTCTCCTAGATTCCATCTTTCTGGATTCTCTTATTCAGTGTGAGAGTTAGCTGTTTCTTTCTCCTTCTCCTGTTTCTCATTCTCTCTCTCTCTCTCTCTCTCTCTCTCTCTCTCTCTCTCTCTCAATAAACCACTTTCTACAAACAAACAACAAAAAAAGGGACAACTGCTATCCTTTTTAAATAATATAAAGCATTCAGTAATTCAAACACTCTTGTCTTATGATTTATCTGAATTAGTATGGCTTTATTGCATTTTCAGGGCTTATTATTCTTTCAGTAGGGAGACTACCAAGATTTCATTAAAGAAAGCTGAATAAATGATCAAATACATTCTTGTAGCACCAGGCTAGGTAATAAACATTGAGATCTGGTTTTCAAGTAGTGGTGAAAATATAAGGCAAAATTACATAGACGACAACATATATTAAGTGACTGTCCTATTGGCCTGGTATATGAAGCTGTGCTGAACTCTTGCCTACATGCATGGATCCTTCGATTGTGAATGTGTGACTACATGAGTGTTTTCATCATAACTAGCTCCTCCTAATAGCAAATGATATGGTTTGCCTGTGTTCCCACCCAAATCTCATCTTGAATTGTCGTTCCCATAATCTCTATTTGTCATGGGAGGAATCCAGGGGCAGGTAATTGAATGATGGGGGCAGTTTCCCCATGCTGCCCTCATGATAGTGAGGACTGATGAGATCTGATGGTTTTATAAGCGTCTGGCATTTCCCCAGCTGGTATTCCGTCTTCTTCCTGCTGCCTTGTGAAGAAGGTGCCTTTCTTCCCCTTTGCCTTGCACCATGGTTATAAGTTTCCTGAGGCCTTCCCAGCCATGTGGAACTGTGAGTCAATTAAACCTCTTTCTATGTAAATTACCCAGTTTTATATATTTTTCATAGCACTGTGAGAACAGACTAATACAGCAAAGAACACATTTTATGAAGGAAAAACTTTGAAAACAAAGGAACTGCTTTCTTTGATGAGAGGCCCTTCCTTTCACTTTAAACAAAACTTTGTCCTTGGAATTTGTTCTAATTCTTTCTATATCTGGGTAAAAATTAATAATAGTAACAGATCTAACTTCAATGTGTATCTCCAGTTCCACATTCTCTTTTCTATGTAGAGATGTATATCCAGCTGCCAAACTCAATAGATTTGAAACAGAAATTACCTGGAGACCTTCCCCATCTCCCATGTCCTTTTTTATTATGGCACAGACATGGAAGTCCTCCTGAATGCTTCCTCTCCCTCAGCCTGACCGCTCTAGCACTATCCAGTTGCAGGTGCATTCTTTCTCCTTCACGTCACCCTTTCATGCCATCTCCACTGCTACCATCTTGGGTCCAAACCTCATCTTATCTTGCCTTAAAACTGCTAGCCTTACAACTGGTCTCTTTATTCTATCAACATCCTCTTCCTGACTGTCATCCACAGATTCACTTTATGAAATACCATCATGATGCTTCCATGTTTATACCACTAGCTTTTCAGTGGCTACCAAAAAAATAGGGCTAAATTCTAAGCCATCATAATCTATGTCCTTCCTGTGTCTCTCCTCCTTGTAAATTGCTTTTGTCACTCATGTGTACTCTATATTTTAGGTAAAAATAACTACTAGCTGTATCTGATTTTTGCCTAGAGTTCCATTCTCTCCTCACTTTGTGATGAATCCCCTCTCATTCCACAGATCTTGCCTGTAAGACCTTTCATAATTTTGTATTTCCAAATGGAAGTGCCTCCTTAACTAGCTGTGTTCCTTTTCTTCCGTGTGCGTTACTGCATTATCATAATGAATCTTAATTTATATATTTTCTATCTTTCTTCCTCCTCAAGAGTGTTATGATGAAAAGAGTTGTTTTAGAAAGAAGAATTTGGCAATGGAATGCTGCATTAATTGGAATGGAAAAGAATGAATCCCTGTATCAACAGAAGGAAACAGTGTGAAATCCTGACAGGGACAATTTCATTACAATTACAAAATACATAAATATGTGATTACAATTGTGAGAACTGCTCAGAAGGAGACAAGGACCCAATGAGAGTGTAAAAATAGGCACCTAACATAGTCTGAGCGTTTGGAGAATGTTTCCCTGGGGATGATGAGGCCTGAGGATGAGTAACAAAAGGCTCCGCTGAGAACCACATGAATGAAGCCTGATGTGTTAAACTAAAAGGATAAAGGTGTCTGAAGTGTAATAAGGCAGAGAGGAGAGTACCAAAAATAAACTGGAGAAGATGGGTAGGGGAGATTACTGTGTTTTTAAATATGAATTAGCCCAATAATTCTTCATTTCATTTTAGGGAGAAATAAGTGATTATTAATTTATTCATTGGCAATGCAGTATAAAAACATATTCTTTGTGTCTTATTTATCATTGAGAATTTTAAAACATTGAAATAAACAATAGGTAACATTTTCCAACTGAGGTTTAAAAAAGAAAAAGGTCAGTTTTCAAATCTATTCCCAACTGCTAGAGTTTAATAAAAACTGTCATAAATGTTAACCTTTGTTCTGAATCAGCTCAGGATTTATCTATCACCCATCTGTGCATCCTCTCACTTGCCAAAAGGAGTAGAATGAGAATTGTTAGAGTACTTGGAATGTTTACTGTAAGTGTGAAGCACAAGACACTACACAATCATGGTGACCTTTATATGTTAGTCCCATTTCTATATTCAATAAGAGACGTTAAATTATTTAATAATTCTTTGGAAATTTCTTTTTAGTTTTTCACGACTTTGCTCTTATGTTGAAGAAAATTATTACATAGATGAACTACAAATGTGAAGCTTCTGTTATCATCTTCTATTTTACTCTGTAAACTGTGATCAGTGAAATGGTGAATGCTGACAAAGTATTCCAGGCTCAGAATGGCACCTTTCAAAGGCAAAAAAGAAGGTGAACAGTCAATCTACTAGCAGCCTCTCAAACAATAGTCAGGACTTTGGACTTGGTCCATAATGTTGTGTTTCACATTGCCCTAAGAAGGTTGCTCTAGGAAGGAAAATAGTTTCCCCAGTGGTGATAGAGAGAAGGTTCCCCAAAGAGAAGAAATTAGAGAGAAAGATGTTACAGTTGTCCAAGGGAAAGATAATAAGCTCCTCAGACAAGAGAGATGTGTTTTGAATTTGAAAAGACAGTCAGGGCTTCATTCATGTGGTTCTCGGAAGAGCAGGTTGTTACTCATCCTCAGGGCTCATCATCCCCAGGGAAACATTCTCCAAAGCCTTAGACTATGTAAGGTACCTATTTTTGTACTCTTATTGGGCTCTTGTCTCCTTTCGAGCTGTTCTCACAATTGTAATTACATATTTATGTATTTTGTTGGCCTAAGGTCTTCCTCCCGCATTCAATCATAGGACCATGGGAACAAGGTTCAAGCATATGTTTTAAATCATTGTGTGTCCGGTGCTTTGTCTGTGTCGTGGTACATAATAGACATTCAATAAATTCTTGTAAAATTCATTGTTTTTCAACTGAGAGTACAAAAGTAATCAGAAAGTAAATACATGTACCCTTTTGGAGAAACACATATTAAATTCATTCCATTAGCAAGCAATAAGTTTTTTATTTAAAAAAAAAAATTTTCAGCAACTTCTTAATGTACATCTCAAGCTTTGACCACTCCTGCTCTTTACACTTACACTAAGTTAATGCCATCTCCACTGCTATATAAATTACCTAGTAGCTTAAATTGCCACATAACCTGTTACTCCACTGAAGTTTGTATTACTCTACTTTCAAAAGATGTATCTATGTTTATACTAAGTTTAAAGAGGAGGATTTCTCAGAGCTTGAATATACTATGCTTGAAAATTATTTTAGTTGTTCTCATGGCCAAAATTGAACTCATCATCTTACTCTTACAATCTGGTCTATTTCTTTTATTTCTTGGTCTGATTGATTACTACAGAGTTATTCAAGCTAGAAACATAGGAGTCACCTTAGTCATATTCCTTTATCTTAACACTGTCTGTCATCATCAAGTCTTCTTTTACCTATAATTTTCTTGTGTCAGTCCCTTCCTCTCTG